AACATACCATCCCCAAAGGACATGCCTATGCAGACCTAGCTCCCTGTTACTGTGATGACTATCAAATGACATTGGAACTGCTTGAGATTCTACTAAACTTCCCCTGGTATAGAGTCCAAGGACATCTGTATGCTTTATAAGAACTGCTTGATGCTGGATGATACAGCCTTGGCTTGTACATGGTTTTGAAAAGCTGCTTCTTTTGATTTTGTAGCCTGTCTTTTTCTATCCTTCTCTTGTTATGAGAGGAAATGATTTTGCTATACTGTTTGACTTTATTCTTTTTTTTCCTTCCCCCCCCCCCCCAAAAAAAAAGCGAACAGTATGATTTATTGAAAAAGGCCTTTTAAAGGTAACTGCTGATGATAGATATGGTTATGTGATTAATGGCAATCGGCATACCTTCAAATTGCAAAATATCTGGGGATGTATAAACAAACTTTGTTTCTCTATTCAGAACATGTTTGTTTGTTGAAAGATGCTAGTGATGATGATTTTCTTTGTGCCTTTTATTTATTTCTTTTTAAGTTATGCATCCTAGAAGTTAGAGTTCATGCTTTGCTATGTATTATGTCCGTTACTGTTAGATTGTAATTTGCATAGTTTTCTTTTCATTTTCAACTTTAATTGACGGCTTAGGAATGTTGGTTATGCACATTCAAACTGTTTTCTGCAACTTTTTTTTTTTTTTTTGGTTGGGTGGGTGTTAATTTGGAGGATGTGGGTCAAAGGTGCATCTCATCCTCTTGTTCTGTTTTTAGCATTCTTTTCAATTTTGATTCATGTGAATATATTCTGCCCACAATCATGGGCTACATTATTATTGTTCTTTCACCTTAATCAGGACTGCTTATGGTTGCAACTCATGTGTTTTGTATTTAGAACAAGCTAACATCTAAAATCGTTGCAGGTTGATTGTATCAGTGGCGTGGGTTGCTCATATCATCATATATCTTTTAATCGATCCTCCTCTTTCTCCTTTCCTGAATGAAGTTTTCATCAAGCTGGATAATATATGGGGTTTGTTAAAATACCTATGCTTTTTTGGCCCTTTACCAATCAGCTGATTCCAATTGCAGATGCGGCATATTTTTAAGTTGTCATTCAGTTCTTGTGACTAAATGTTCATATTCTGCTCCTCTATCAGGTCTTCTTGGTACTGTTGCATTTGCGTTTTTCTGCTTCTACCTTCTCCTTGCTGTGATTGCGGGTGCCATGATGCTTGGGCTGAGACTAGTTTTCATTACTATCCATCCCATGAAGTAATTGATTTGCACTGCCATTTTTCTCTTTTCTTTTAATATATTACTCATTCTTTGTGACTGCTTATGATTTTATTTTGTTTTGACAGGTGGGGGGGCACTCTGATGAATTCTTTTCTGTTTAACGTGGGACTTATCCTTCTCTGCTCCATTAGGTCAGCATAGCCAACACTTCAAATGTTTCCATCGCTTTTTTGGTTAGACAATAGGGAAATATAGGTTTGAATGACTGCAAATTCAAAGTGGTCGATATTCTAGCCTCTGAACTTCTCACATTGAAATTTTAGAATGCGAATGAACATAGGAAATTGTTTCAGTCATTGGGCTTATGATTTTTTCTGAAAGCTTTTGTTATGCTGTGGCTGTATTGCTGAGAATTCTATGGTTTTACTTTTTCAGTGTTATCCAGTTCTGCTCCACAGCATTTGCTTACTATGCTCAAGCAACTGCAGCACAGGAAATATTTGGTCACACCTTGCAATCTCTTCGTGGAATTAAATATTTATACAAGTGAGTTAAGCTGGGCCTCTCTTCAATTCCCAATCCCTTGGAGGGGCAAAAAATGAAACCTTTCATTCTGGGCTAGCCTGTAAATTTAGACCCCAATGCAAGGGCCCCTTCTTTTGTCCCAACATCTAATTCTCTGTTGAGGTTCAACCGCCTTGATAATTTTCTTGCCAAATTAGTTCTTTACCATTCTTAACCAAATAGTATCATTTATGCTTTGTTGATGTGACCTGACTTGCTGGTAATTTTGTTACAGGTACAACGTATTTCAGATTGCTTTTGTTGTACTGGCTGGATTGACCTTTATATATTATGCTGCTTTTGTGAGTTCTCTTTTTTTCCCCTTCCTTTTTTTCCTTCCATTGTTTGTCATTCTTGCTGATACTGAAGGGTTAACTTGAAATAATTCAGGGATGGAGAAGAAAAAAGCCTAGTGGCCGGTTCCAATTGTCTTCATGAGTTATGGTTTATCAAGGAAGAGTGTCTCTTGGAGTGGGCCTTTCTGGTCCTATGAATCTCATTTGGAGTGATTTTTCATATATCGGATGTGTTTTTGGCCTAGTATTTTTGTTGTTGTTGAGAGCTCTAGAGGAGGCCCAAAACCATCCATCTGTAGAATTATTTTATGGTACAGATGAATCGGATCGATGTGGATGCCTGCCAGTGCTACCACTAATGGTTGCTTCTTATCACGCCCTTGTATCTATAATTCCTTTGTTTGATTTTGGCAACATATTTTTTCTTTTTGTTTCTTTCTGTTTTTTGAACTGAGAATATAATTGAAGCAGTCATGTGAATGAGTCAAACTTGGGTTTCTCTTAACACTATGTAGTGCAGACCCTTTGCTAAATAGAAAGTTGTGAATGAGCCAGTGTTTCACCAACTACTTTGTCTGCTTATAGTTTCACTCTTATCTTCGAACAGGCTTCATGTCTATCTTTACGCACAGGTGTGCACACGTATGTGTATTTAGTTGTGGGAAATTCTTCACTTAAATTTTAGACATTTTATTCAAGTCGAATTCCTTATTGTTTTTTAATTGAATGACATATTCTTGGGATATTGTTTCTACATTGGTTGTATCAGATTAATTTCTAGTTAGTGTAGTAAGGGGCATGTGACTGGCAAAAAAAGGGGAAAAAAGAATAGAGGGCAGGTAACGACATCTTTGATTTCTCGAAAATAAAAATATAAGTTGACTCTGCTGAATTATTAAAATTAAAATTCTATAAGAAATATGAACCGGGGAAAATTGGTGAAAAGTTCTTGTATGGATATTTTATTGCTTGAAGAATTTGATATGTTCTTATGCATAGAAAGTATCAGTTTTTTTTTTTTTTGGTAGGATTTCACTCAGAAAAAGTATCAGGCCGTTCTGTTTCATTTGAATGTAGGGATTACGAATCCGCCTAGAAGAAGAAATTGGGAAATTCGTCATTCGTGGGAATGAGAGGAAGCAGGTCATAGCCTTCCCTCTTAAAATATCAACAATGGAACGGAGCCTTGGGCTTGTTCCCAGTACATTTTCAAAACAATATACTCCTCCGGTCCTAATTATAAGACCCAATTGACTTATTTGAGGAGATTAAAGAAGTAAGTTAAGTTGGTTATTTATAATAAATAAGTGTTGTCATTCCTAAAATATCCTTGCTAATTAAGTATATTAGCTAAAACTATCATTATTAGAAGGATTATCTTGGAAAAAATGCATAAATATAAGAAACAAAATGGATTGGTTCTTATAATTAGGACCAAATAAAAAATCAAATTGGATCTTATAATAAGGACCGGAGGAGTATTATTTTTTTTCTGTCTTTTTGATAACCACAACACATTAATATATTACTACCTCTGGTCTTTAATATAATTCTTCTAACAATAGTAGTTCTAACCAATACATTTGATTAGCAAAGATATTTTAAGAAAAACAATACTTATTTATTACAAACAACTAATTTAATTTCTTTTCTCAATTTTTTTAAATTAGTCAACTAGCTCTTATAATTAAGACCGAAAATGGTATATAGAAATAAAATATAGTATCAAATGACGGTAAGTGGGTGAAAGGGCCCTTTAATGAAATTCTCCCAAAATTTTGATTGGTGAGCCTGCAATCTAAAATCCAGGCAAAACTAAGAATAAATTGATTTAATATGCAAGGAAAATACACACATTATATATCTCTATATATCTTATAATTATTTTATTTCATTTTTAAATGATATACTATTTGCTAAATGTCTTAAATTAAAATTTTACTTCTGATCTCTATTTACTTTATTTTTAGTTAATTTTTATTTGGAATCAGTTTCTTTTTATATTTTTATATCATATTTTATCTTCCTTATAGAAAATAGTACATAACACGTAATTATTAATTCATTATATTTTAATATAACCGAAACTAATTCGACTACAATCTAGTTATTCAACTTAGTACCTCCAATAGTTCTATAGCTGGAGCGGAATTAGGGAGGGGGAGGGGAAGAAATTTAATAATAAATGATAATACATTTTATCAAATTTATATAACTATTAAAATCATATAAAAACTTGTGTGCATATATATATGTATATATATATATATAATAGATACTTTATAATTTAAATATGATAGCGAATCTTTTCAACTTATATTAATTTTTATTATTTGAAATTCGACTCCTAAAATTTACTCATATATTGTTTACTCTTGACGAAACAGTTACATTTTCTATTAAAAAAAATTCAAAACTTTGCAATCTACTTATTTTAAATCATGTTTTAATATCTAATTAATGAAAAATCATTGAAAGCATCATGAAATTTAAAATCATAATTTAAAGTTTAAACATCTGAAGTTTGCCGAAAAAAGGCCTAGAAATTCCATAAACCCCAATTCCATCTTTACCTTCCCCTTTCTCTCACCTCTTCTCCGACTATCTCTGCGAGGTTCCTCCCCATTCACAATACAAATTTGAAATTTGAGGGGCTGGAATAAAAGGTTAATATTTTTATACAGATAAATGTGTCATAAGACTAGTTCAAAGAATCAACAATCAAGTTAAATCTTTGACTTAAAATTTTCAAATCTTAAGCTTCACTTGTTGATGTACTCCAATATTCTTCAATTTTTTTTAATTTTAAAAAACTATAATCCTATATTTATTTTAGGGCAAAAAAAAAAACCCTTTTTATAAATTGTTTCCTCCCTGTAAATCCCTGTGCTGCCACCACCACAGTGCAGAAGAAAAGATGGTAGTCTCAGAGGAGGAGCTCAATAGACTATTCAGAGTCAGAAGGACAGTGATGCAAATGCTGAGGGATAGGGGCTACCTCGTTACAGACTTAGAGATTAACATCTCCAAGAATGACTTCAGGCTTCAATTTTCTGGGAACGTAAGAAGGAGGGACTTTGTTATTAATAAAGCTAAGAAACAGGACAGCTCTGACCAGGTATATTATTACTTACATCTTCTACTTCAAGCTTGTCTCTTTTTGCCACCCCAGATTCAAATTTTCCTTGTCCTACCTGTTCCCTACACCAAGGTGATTCTTTTATGCATAAATTCGGCTCTTTTCCTGCTGGACTTGTAATATTTTAGTATTTCTCAAACCATGGACTTCATTATGATGTTGCTGTTACCGGAGACTGCATGTCTGTATTGAAAAAGGAAAAAAAGTTGTGAATGCTCAGCATAATAATGTCAACTTAAGTATTGAACTTTCGCTGTCACGTGCATGAGGTATCCTAGCCTTTTCTTATGGACAAGACTTGAACTCATATATTTAATGTACTTTTATCAGATCAGACCAGAATACGTGTGTTTTATTTCAAAGCAAGTTAACTATATTAATAGTAAAAGTTAGTCATGGAATAAATAATCCATGAAAAAAATTCACGCGTAGTAAATATATTAAGCATATAAATTTATGTATCTAAGTTGTTCTCTTCTCTTATGTGTCTAGTCTCTTCAGACCATGTTACTCAACTTAGCTAGAGGGAAGAATTAGTTAAAATCTCTATTTGCAGTTCCAGTTCAATTTTAGAAGACGAAAATTACTACTTGATCACTTGTTATATGTTGAACACTTATCCAGTCTGTAACAAGATTTTTTTTCCCGTGTTAAATCTTTTAATTGGTTGCCTTTGTAGCAGATCTATGTTTTCTTTCCTGAGGAATCTAAGGTTACATCTGAGACAATAAGGACATACGCCAACCGCACTAAATCAGAGAATGTATTCAGAGCAATTTTGGTTGCTCGACAGAAATTGACTTTCTTTGCCCAGAAATCTATTGCTGAAATATCTTCAAACATTCACTTGGAGTTCGAGGTTTTTCAGGTGACATAATTTTGCTTTGTGATCCTGAATTGGAAAATTGTCGATAGTTGTTTAAAAAAGTAGCTTCATTAATACAGGAGTCAGAACTGCTCGTCAACATAACAGACAATGCCCTTGCTCCTCAACATCAGGTGCTTACTGACTCAGAGAAGAAAACCTTACTGGAGAAATACACCGTGAAAGAAACTCAGGTAACTTGATTTAATGCCATTATTCTCTCAACTGTATTATATGGAAAAATGTCAATTGTCCAACAAACCTATATATGCTACATTTAGGCTTGGTTTTGACAGAGGGAGAAGTCTAAGGAAAATAGGATGTGAAAAGAATATTAAGAAGGAAACCTCCTTTAAAAAAAAAAAAAAAAACCATTTTTAGGAGTTTTCACTCTTCGTATTCTTTTTCTCTTTATTTTTCTTTCCATCCAAATCAAGGGTTAGACTACTAGGGTTATGAGAAGACGTTAGGGTGCCAGATGCTTGGGTTTTAAGTATAGTAAGTTAACTTCTTGAGCTTTGCTAAAATGATATATCAGAGTGAAATTTGCTTGTTATATGCATGCTTCAGAGGTTGAGAGACCATACTCCTCTGTACACTAAGACTGAGTTAGGACATGGTACGATGTATCTTTGTAATATTTGCGTGAACTTGTCATCTGTTTGAGGTGATACTGACACTCAGACGGTTGGAAAATTTTCCCAATGATTTAGAAGCTAGTCTCGTATGAATAGAGAGTTGAATCTGTCTGACTACAATTTTACAGCTTCCATCTAATAATACCTGCACTTGAAATGGATCCTGATGCTGAAATGTACAATGAATTTCATGCTTATAAGGCTTACTTCATTTCTCTAAAATTGCCTCTCATATCTTGATTCTTTTGAAACTTCAAATCATCAGACATTGATATTGTTTCTTCCTCTTTCAGCTTCCTAGAATGCAGGTCACTGATCCAGTTGCTAGATATTTTGGAATGAAACGTGGACAAGTTGTAAGGATCAGCCGAAATAGTGAAACTTCTGGCAAATATATAACCTACCGATATGTTGCATAAGTAACATAATAATTCCATTGGAGGGAAACTGAATGTTTGATTGAAATCCTTTGTTTATTTATTCCCTGTTCTTCTGCATTTTCTTCAATCCATACGTATCTTTTGTCAGATAAATGAATATGAACAAAGACACAGATAGTTACGTAGAGCTTGTTTGCATGGAACAAAGTTCAAAAAGTTTTGTATTATACTGTGTCAACTAGAAGCATGGAACAAAGTTTTGTATTAAACCTTCTATTGTCTGCTCTATGTTTCAACAAAAAAGTCAGAGCAAATATGTATGATTTATTTATATCATTCATTGAAAAGCTTGATCATTGTCTCTTAAGAAACTGCATCCAAATTGTGCACCTAACAAACAAAAGAATTGCATTGAGAATCTTAAAGAGAAACTGCAATTCGTTAAGCAGTCCAAGAAATTACTCCCATTCCATAAATGAAGGCAAGGTTATTGAAGAGACACTAATGGTGGTTTTGCCATCAGCACTGACAGGATCATAAGGGGAAGGTTGTGAAAACTCCATAGGCATTGATTTCCAGTGCAAGTTTGGCTCCCACTCAGCTTCTTTCAGAACCTTCAATATTTCTTTCGCCACTATTTTGCTTCCCACACTCGACAGATGAATTCCGTCTCTGACAAGTTATGTTATTCACAAGTCATGAACAGTACAACTCATTAAAACTCGATGCAGCGATTTATGAATTATATTCCCTCTAGTCCTTATTATAAGAGAGAGAATAAAAATTAATATGATTTTCGAGTTTAGTATAGTTAATAAGAATAATATTAGATATTTTTTAAATTTTACGATAAATTTAATGTTTTTAATTATTGATATTGGTACATGTGATTTAGTTAGAAGTAACTGATAATAAGAATCCGAGAAGTAATATGCTTACGTGAAGCAAACATCTAACCAATCTTGTCTTTGCTGGAGAGCATTCGAGAGATCAATGGCTTTTATATTCATCTCTTGACAGAGCTTGAGGCATGCTTCTGAATATATTCTACACGATTCGTTGGTTCGAGTCAAACTCAGCACACCACTGCATTGATTCATCCCAATCATTTATAATTCCCTCATCACAAATCGGAATCTGAATTTAAATTCCAACCACACATCTCTACTCTACTCTACTCTTTGGTGTCTATAAGTTTATTCGAGATGGCTAAAGAAAGAACCAAAAAAAAAAAAAAACAAGAAGAGAAGTGAGAACCTGAGTGATTTCTGAATCTGAGCCTCGTTGATAGGAGGAGCAGTGAGGAATATAAGACGAGTCTTCTCTGAAAGGCTCTGCTCAATCATCAACATTTGTTACATGTGTCACCCATCAAAGCTGAGTCATATTTCCTTATGATTTATAATAGCCTCAAGGCGCAAATTTAACCACCAAGTATTCGCCTTGGTACAATAATATTCACTTGGATGCAAAAATGGCCATAAAAATTTAAAAAAAGGTGCAAAAATGTCACGGCTGTTAATTTAAGTCTGTCAACTTTTAGAACATAGATGGACATAAGACTCACTATTTTTTTCTTTCTAAAACATAAGTATCCTCTTATTAGAAGCAATTCTATTCGAAACATTGTCGGGAACTAAATGGGAGTCTTCGGGGATTCGAATATTGGTTCACCATGTTGTAAGGAACTAACCCGTTCTACTAGACTCAATTCCTATTGATACAGAAGACTCACTATTAAAAAGTAACAGACGTTTGCTTAAATAAATGGCTGCGGCAATTTGGACCCTTTTTGAAACTTTCATAGGCACTCTGACAGCACCCAAGTGAACATTACAGTTTCAGGTGCGTACTCACAGTTACTTCGTGAGGAGATTTGGATGTTAAATGTGAGAATACCTTGAGATGGAGAGCAATGGTTTTCATATTGTGGATGTATTCGGGAAGAGGCACGTGAGGACCAAGTCCTGAAGGGTGGGGAAGCATGGAATCATTTCCTCCAAAGTACACTATTATCAAATCCGGCTGTACTCCTCCATCCTGAATTATTTGTGAATGAATTTGAGATTTCATAAGACTATTATTTGAGTATGGTTTAATATGTAATTTAGATTTAATAGTAGCATAAATGTGTGGCACAAAAATGAAAAAAATTGTATTAAGATCCTATCCAAGAGAATTGAATATAAAAAATTCTATTGAAATCATCAAATTAATATGAAGTTTTAAGGAATCTCATTGGAAGAAATCCCACTTGTTCAATTACTAAATTGCCATCATTTTTTTTTTAAAGTATGCATTAACGACTAAAAAGACAGTCATTAACAATTGAAGGTATAATGATTAACAACTATTATGATAAGTATTAACAACCAATACATTAAATCTTTGTTATGAGCCAAGAAAATGTGTTGTTAATGCTTGCCATGATAGTTATTAATTATTGTACCTTAAGTTATTAATGATTGCTCTTTTAGTGGTCAATGTAAACCTAAAAAAAAAGAAGATAAAAACAATTTAGTAATTGAATAAGTAGAATCTCTTACAATAGGTCTCTTCAGATTAATTTGATTATTTTAAGAAATTTTTGTAGTTAATTCTTTTGAGGAGAACCTTAATACAATTTTCCCCCAAAAAAACCTCATTAAATATTTATACTTGCAAAAAAAAAAAAAAAAGAGGGTTTAATTTACCTTTGGGAAAACTTGAGACAGAACCTCCAAAGCACGCCTTGAATTCCAACCCGAGTATCCACGTAATACTATGTCTGCCTGCACACACATATATTTGAATTAGAGAGACAGATGCTAATAGCATTTAAATTACATTTAAATCTAATCAATTGTTGAATTACTCAACTCAATGTAAAGGAGCCTTCCAGAGAAATACGAGCATTTTGTATGTTTGATATATTACCATAAATTACATCACAACTTAATTATCACAAAAAAAAAATTAAAACAACATAATAGTGATGATTTATTTTATGATAAAATTTGTTAATTTTGTTATAAAAAACACTGTTACTAACTGATTAACGAGATTCTTGGTCACTAAATTAATAAACAACGGAACTATTGGTTATATTAGTATGTTGTTTAGGTACCCATTATAAGACATTAAGACTAGCGTACTTTTGCTTATTCTCTTGAATAATTACTAATTAAAGGGCACAAAAGTTCATAGAACAAGAGATAAAACATACCATAAGAAGATTCCTATTTATTTACTCTTCCGGTCCTTAATATAGGATCCAATTATTAAGTTGGTTTTGGTCTTAAATATAAGACCTATTTATTATATTTATCAATTTTCTCTAAATTACCCCTATAGATACTCTGTCAGTCATAATCAAGTAAAAGAGAGAGATGAGGCATTAAGAAAAATGATTATGATGTTTTAGGAAAAATGTGTCACATTTCTTATAATTAACTAACTTACCTAACTTTCTTAATCTAATCAAATTAGTTAAATGGGTCTTATATTAAGGATCGGAGGAGTATTTATTTTTATTGATTGGCTGGTGAAGAAAGGATGATGAGAATCGCACTTTCCAGAAATTGCTGATAAAGTAGAGGGAAACAACAATGCTGACTAATGATCATTATTGTTTGAGTAGAAGATATTATTCACATTTTAATCTTATGAATGGAAAAAATTTATTTTCATAAAAAATTTATTTATTTATTCTTTATATCCATAAAAAATTTATTTATTTTTCTTTGGACTTAAATAACCTGATTATATTAGATACTATTAAATACTTGCCCTTTTTTAAAAAAGAGGCCAATTTTGATTTGATCGCACCTTATTAATTAGTTGATGTCAACATATAAAGTAACATAGTAATTAATACGAAAAAAGAGATCCTTCTTATCCTAATCTTCAGCCGCCACCTTTTTCCGCATGTATGTGTCATTTTTCCTCTATAAATTAAAGCAAAGCAACCAACCTCCTTTCCCGATTTTAATTTCCTCCATGTATTTTCATTATCATCCAAACATATATGAAAACTATTATATATATAATAAATTGAATTTTTTTGTACGCACCATATAACATTATCAAAAAGACTAAACTAAAATTTTAATTCCACTAAATAATAATAATGCTCATGGTTGAATAATGATCAAAGAAAAATTATAACATTTACTACCTCCAGTCCTATTACAAACAAGGTCTTATAATTAGAATCGGAGATAGTATTTTATAACGGAAAAGCTAAATTATTCTCCCACATGTTGAAAGACATTTAAATTACCCAACACTACTCTGTTAATTATAAAACTGAAGACATTTTCATGTGCATTACAGCAGTAGAAATAGCTCGTGAAGGATGCAATAGTACAACTTACTATGATTTTATATTGTATACGGAGTCACATATAGATTCTCTTATAAATATATGGGAGAATTACAATGAGATCCCAAATAAGGAAAACAATTAAAAAACAAGTCCCAGAGGTTGTTATTCCCACTATAGGACTTGTCATTATAGATTGTTGAGGTTGTTATTAGAATATTTTGGTAATTATTTCTCTTCTGTGGGACTTGATTGTAATTTCTCCTAATATTATTCTTCTGGTATTTAATAAAGGACCTCATTAAGGAGTTAATATTTCGTCTTATATATAAGACTTATTTTACAAATTTATCAATTTTTTTCTAAATTAACCTATTGATATTTCCCTAACAATAATCCAATAAGAAAAGGGGAGCAGAAATTAAGAAAGATGCTAAGGGATGTTTTATGAAAAAAAACACATTATATTAACTAACTTAACTAATATTTTTATTCTCAATCTGCTCAACTTAGTTAATTAAATCTTACATTAAAGACTGAGTGAAAGTACTATCATTTAAATATATTTAGGCAACATAATACATATGCTGGGAAAATAATATAACCCTGATCCATTAATCACGGGAAGCAGTTTCTCAATTTTTTTTAAACTTTTTTTTTGTGTGGATGACAAACAATGACAATGTTGGAAAACTAAATTGTATGTTTCATGTCTGGACATGTCCTGTGGTCTTACAAAAGTTTCACACTCGGGATTTTCAGAGCATCAGAAACAAGGAAACAAACTGAGTTTGATGATGGTGTTCTGGATTATATATACATATTTTGGCCAACACTTTCAAAGTCAAATCAAAATATGATGATCGAAGAAGAAAGGAATGAGATCCAAATGAATGAAATCTCCGAATTACATATAGAACAGGAGAGATAACAACAACCACAACAACAACAGAAGGATTAAAACGAAGGATTTGGAATTTGCTTTGCCTTGTTCTCTACAGAGAGGAACACCGAGGCATGCGAATCCAAAATATGAATCAAAACGAAGATATATAGTTCTAATTATAATGTCACAGACAGAAGAAATCGAAGAAGGAAGAAGGAATCGACGAAGAAGAGAACGTACTCTGCGAGAATAGAGGTGGGCGAGAATGGAACCCCAACCTTCGTGGCTGAAACTGAGCTCAACAATGGAGGAACCAAACAGCACAATCTGAGGCCTCACTGGTCCAACCATCTCTCTCTCTCTCTCTCTCTCTCTCTCACTCTCTCTGTATATAGAGGGCCCTGATGTAACTTGTTTGTTTGGTTGCTTAATTTCCGAAATTTACAATTCAGCTCGGTCCCCCTCTAACATTTATACATCCTGCACCACCGAATTTTCGCTATTACATCATTTAATTAATTAGTTTGATTTGTATGCTCCATTGGATGCCACCCCGAGCTGCCTCATGATCCATCTCTTTCCTTCTTTATTTTTTTTCCATATCAATTTTAGTATGTTGTGTCGTTTTTGAGTTCCAGGTAATAAATTACTACTTTTGTTCTGTAATATTATAATATAAGAGTTAACTTGATACTTAATTAAGTTCTAAATATAAGATCTCAATTTATTTTGTCTTTTATATTTATCTATTTTTTCTAAAGTGATATTTGTAATAGTTGTACATATTTAGCGTTCTATCAAATACTAGTTCTAGCTAATACATATAATTAGCAAGGATATTATAAGAAAAATAATACTCATTAATTACAAATAACTAACTTAACAAACTTACTTAATATACTCAAATGACTTAACTATTTCTTATATATTCAGAACTAGAGGCAATAATTAATGTGTATATTTTTTTTTATAAAAAAGTTATTGAGGATGGTCTAGGTGAATTGAATCTAAAATGAGAACAAGTCTCACAGCATAGCAAAATTTATAAATTATTTATAGATTATATATCTATCAATATTAGAATTTGTACTTATGTTTTTCTCGTTAGTTGGACCAATCTATCATTCGATGTTTAATATACGAGTTGCTTGACTAAATTTTAATTGATTAAAAGGTTAAATAAATTATTTAATATTGGCAAATGTGACATGACGTTCTTACTTAAAATATACTATATTAGTTAATTTTAATAAAACTACGCAAAATAAATTTACAAGCATCACCCCCAATTTTTATATAAGTTGGTTAATTCTAAGAGTAGGAGCTGAAAACCACCACAAGTTTTTTTCTTAAAAGTAAAATACAAGTCACATTAATTAAACTCCCACGATAATCAACCTATGAATTGTTAGGAGAACTAATTAATAATGATTCATTAATTACAAATTCCAAAATTTCCTTGACACAAAAAAAATTTCTTAAAATTCTATATCTGTGCATGTATGGGTGTTGGAAAGAAAATTGCATCAGAAGATCTCTGTAACAAATGATCTGTCCTGGCCTGTAGAGTTTTGAACATAATAATGATCAGTGCGTTTCTTTTTTAAACATATTGAGGATTTGAATCATAATTATATATTTATAAGCGATGTCACCATAATTAAATAGTTTTTCCATGAGATTGGATGATTCATGTTTGCGCTTATTTGCGGATAATAAACACTTCAGCCATTTGTTTATAATCTTTAATTCCTATGTCATTTTAATGATTGATTTAGTTTCTTAATTTTGACTCAAAATAATTTAGTATTTACTCCTCTGGTCCTTAACATAAAAACTAATTAACTAATTTGAGTAGATTAAATATCTTAGTTAAATTAGTTAGTATGATTTTTTTTCTAAAATACATTAACCATCTATTTAATTCTCTTCCTCCTTCTTCTACTTGCTTATTGTTAGGTTAATAAATTATAAAGATTTAATTTTTTTTAAACTAGAAAATCATAAAGGCTAACTTATTTTAGAAGAAACTATATGAAGTCCTTTGCACATAATCTAACCACTATACAAAGATACTGCCAAGAGGAAAAAAGACGAAGAACCAAATTATTGATCTGTAAATATATATTCTGCTCCTGCAGGATGACTTTTGTTTAAAGAGAATCCACTAAATAAAACAACCGAAAGCTAAATATTGACAATTACATTATTTCCACTAAAGAGAGAATCAACTGAAAAAGACTATTTTTCCCCTTAGGTTTTGTTTGGTTCAATGGAAGGGAGGGGAGGTGAGGTTAATTAAAAGAAGAGGAGGGGAGGGGAAGGGAGGTCATGGTTTTGTTTGGTTGGAGGGGAGGGGAAGGGAGGGGAGATTTCTTGTTTGGTTCGTAAGGGGAGGGAAGGGAGGTAATTATAAATTGACAAATATACCCTTATCTCTATATTTAGACTAATTTATTTTTTTAATACACACACGATATAATATATAATTATAATACACACATGTTATGATATGTATATATTAATACATATGATATGTATATATTATATAATTATATAATTATATTATTATTATCAAATATTATTAGTGGCTAAAAAAAGAAAGAAGTGAAAAAAGATTTTTAATAAGATAGACAAACTTGGAATATTAAAAAATTAGTATGGGTAGTTTGGTCAATATTAGACATAATATTTCTCTCCCCTCCAAAAAAATCTCAAATTTGGAGGGGAGCATGGGGAGGGGAGGGGAGCACTAAAAGACAAATTTCTTCCCCCCCCTCCCCTCTATTTTTCCCAACCAAACACACTGATCCCCTCCCCTCCCCTCCCCTCAACAACCCTCCAACCAAACAAAGCCTTAGGAAAATCCCTTTAAAAGACATTTAAATTTAAATTAACAAAAAAAATCATAATTTGTGTTTCTAATTCTCCTTTGACAATAGGTATAAAAGAATAAAGCAGTAATATTTCAATTAAATCTCAATCAGTTGTTCGTTAATTCTATTTTATCAATTATGTCTTAATTTTAAAAACTAAGTGCACAAGGAAATATGAAGAATTTGTCAATTGTAAAAGGTTGATTAATTCTATAGTCGAAATAAAATTAAGACGACATTTCGGAGATTAAATTAACATCATCACTTAAAATGAAAAAGATTAGTACAGAATCAATTCAAGAAAGGGGGAAAAAAAAAAGGTATCGTGAATCTATCTGGGGATTTGCTAAGATCGAGCTCATTAGAAATTAAAATTAAAATTTGAGTTTCATCCGGAGGTTATACCAGCTTCTCTTCAAAACACCGACAAAAGTCCAAGCCTTAATCTTCACAAAAAGCTTGATATTCTTAACCTTTGTCTCCATTTGATGTTTCAACACATGGAATTGAATCCAATCCAGCGCAAGAAGATCGATCGATGCTTGAGATTTAATTGAGGACGCAATTCGATCTCTTTCACCCGCAGAAATAATGAAGATCCCAGCAAAACGATCAAAATGCAGATGGATTCTGATCACTTTCTTGCTCTTTCCCTTGTTGCTTTTGGGGTTTTCCTTTATTTCTTTTCTTCTGGTCTATTTTTTTTTTTTCCTTTTATACTGCCTTTGTTGTGAGAGGTGTTGCTCAAAACCCCACACAGAATTTGGTTATCTTTAATGCTGGTTGATTAGTTCAATTAGTTGTCTGTTTGGGTGTATTTATGGAGAGCGGAAACTAAAAACTGTCCTGGTCAAATTTTTACTATTTTTAGTGCGTTCATTTTCTCTTGTACGAGGTTCATTTGATAACTTGATTGATCATAAATTATGCAAACTATTATTACCTCCAATCCTTAATATAAAATCTTGTTTGATTTTATTTTAGTCATAAATATAAGATCCTAATTATTTTTTGTTTCTTATATTTATATATTTTTTTTAAGATAGTCCTTCTAACAATAGTAGTTCTAACTAATACACTTGATTAGTAAGGATATTTTAAAAAAGACAATACTTATTTAGGATAAATAACTAACTCAACTTATTATTAGTCAACTAACTCTTATAATTAGGACCGGAGGTAGTACAATAAATTTTGTTGAAATTGCATACCGTTTATTTTCGAGAAG